AGAAAAAAAAATCCATCCTCTCTGAATTTTATACTAAGCAAACATACCTTTGAAAACTAAAAGTAAAATATTTTCCAGTTATACAAACTTGAAATATTCTAATACCTCCAGAAGTAGCATATAGGAAATAACAAAGAGCATAATTCAAAAGGCAAGAGAAGTTGCAGTATGCTCCTGGATGAACAATAAAGAGCCCTCAAAATGATAGTTATGCAGGACTATATAAAATATATTAGATGAACCTTTATTTAAAAGGTCATTAAAGATTTCTATGAAATAGTACCAATCTTATGTCGGGTTATACACATAGTTTTTTTTCATATATATGTGTGTATGTGTGTATAAAAGACAGGGAAGAAGTAATATAAAGTCAACGGAAAATGGTAATATACTTTTTAAAGTTTCTAATACTAGGAGAAAATATCATACCATGTCTTTTAAATAAATTGTAAGTCAAAGATATAGTATAAGTCTTAAAACAAAAATTAAGATTAAGTAATATTCAGAAGATTAAATACTAATTAATTAAAAATTAAATGTTTCAGGGGCCGGGGAGATGGCTCAGTGGAATAAGTGCTTCCCTGGCAAGCACAAGGCCCTGAGTTCAATCCCCAGTTCCACCAAAAAAAAAAAAAAGAAAGAAAGAAAGAAAAAAAAAAATAAATGTTTCAAAACAATTGAACTAAAAAAAGTTTTCATGATAGTAAAGAAGTACTAAGAATAAAACGTAAGATAAATACTGGAATGGCAAATAAATGACCGGCACTTCTAACAGTTTGGGGATAGGATATCACACAAAGTTCTAGTGTGTTGTGGAAGTGTCATTATTTTTACACAATCATTTTTTATCACCATCAATTAAAAAAATTGATGCACATTTTCCATTCACTTGCTTTTCTCTGTATGTTCCATGTCTTATTGCCATTGACATAAATAACCCCACCTCCAGCTTCCTGAAACCAAATTAATCTGTCCAGCCCGCCCATGGCCTGGTTAATATGATTGAAATGGTATTATATCTAACCTGGGTTATTTTTGAGAAGTAATTGCAGCTTGAGGCTATTCCATCTTCAAACTGTGCTTTATCATCCTATTTCCAACATCTCCCTGGAGTCTGAACCAGGGGCAAACTTTTTCTGGCAAGGCCAGAGGATGTTTCCCAGCTTTGCAGACTGAGGAGCACAGTCCTTGATATTATATGGGTCCTTGCATCATGAGAGACAATGAATTGTCACCGACTTCTTATTGATGAAATTCAAAATATGATAAAATGCTTGAGTACAATATATAATTTATAATATATGCCTACTAGACAGACATGTGTGGTGATTCATGCCTATAATCCCAGCACAAGAGGAGAGTGAGGCAAGAGAATGATAAATTTGAGGCAAGCCTGCGCAACTTAGTAATTTAGCAAGATTCAGTCTCAAAAATAAGAAATAGATGGGAATATAGCTCAGTGCAAGGGTGTTGGATTCCAGTCCTACTACCAAAATATATATCATATGTACAAGTCTACAAATGACAGCATGGGTTTTTGATTGGTGGAATATGATTTAGCTTAGTTGGGACTCAAGATTATTGTTTCTTTCGTTTTTTGTTTTTTCTAGTTTTATGTGTTTGTTACAGGGTCTCACTAGGCAGCTTGGACTTGTAGTGATCCTTCTGTTTCAGCCTCTTCAGCGCTGTGCATCACCACACCTGGGCTTGCTGGCTGGATCGGTGTGCCTGGGGCAGAGCTGGCACAGCATGTGGTACTGGGCATCCAACCCAGGTCCCTGCGCTTGACTAGGCAGATGCTTAGGCTGCTGATCTATCCCCATGGCCCTATTGTTTCATATCATCAAATTGATCACAAAAATTCACCTGTAAAGTGCTGGGGAGATAGCTCAGCAGCCTAAGTGCCTGCCTGGCAAGTGCAAGGTTCCCTTTTTGATCCCAGGTACCCACATGCCGTGCAGCCCCTGGATCTGCGCATGGTGGCACATGCCTGTAATCCCAGCACTGGGGAAGCTGAGACAGGAGGATCACTGTGAGTCTGAGCTGTATACCAAGATCACGTACCCAATAAGTAAATAATTTTAAAAATTCACCTGTAAAAATTATCCTCGACTGACCCAGTCTCAATAAATAAAAAATAAATTGTAATAAATTTTTAAAATGTAATTTAATCTTTTGAACTGTTCTTTTGTTTGTGGTACTAGGAATGAAACCAAGGGCCTTCCTACATCTCTATTTTTTTTTAATTTTAATCTTTTAGTTTGAGACAGTATGTCACTAAGTTGCACTAGCTCGGTTTAAAATTGTGATCCTCCTGCCTCAGCTTCCTGAGCTGCTGGAATCACAGGCACGTGACACTGCACTGAGCTAAAAATTATCACTGTGCAAAAGTACACATAACATGAATTTTACCTTTTTAAAAAATGTATTTAGTATAGGGTCTACAAGGTCTCACTACATAGATTGGACTCATAGTGATTCTCCTGCTTTCAGCCTCCAAGTGCTGGGATTATAGGTGAGCACCAGCACGCCCAGTCTCAGTTGTGTCAGTGTGCTGTGCGGGCAGGGCCAGCATGGCAGTCCAGTGATCAAACCCAGCTGCTATGCTCTGCCTAAGCAGGCGCTTTAGTCTGCTGAGCTATCTGGCCAGCCCCATACCTTTCTAAGCATGCTTAAGTGTGTAACCCAGTGTCAGTAAGTCCCTTCACACTTGTGTAACCAACTGTACTACCCACCTCTGGAAATTTCCCATCTCTCCTAAATGAAATTCTGTGCCCACTGACAGCTTCCTGTCTCCTGTGCCTCAGCCCCATGCTTCTTTCTCTACAAATCTGCCTGTTCAAGATACTTCACTTGAATAGAATCAAACAGTATTTGTCCATGCTTGATTTTTACTTAGGCTCATATTTTCTGAAATGTTCTGGGTTGTTTTTTGTTTTTGTTTTGTCTTTTTGAGACAAGGACTCACCATGCAGTTCAGGCTGGCCTTGGGCTCACTTTGTAGCATAGGCTGGTCACAAAATCTTGAACTCTTAGCAAGCCTCCCAAGCGAGCGAGCGCTGGGATTACAGACCTGCACCGCCACACCCGACTTTGAAGTGTTCTGTCATGTCTCTGAATTTCATTCTTTTTAAAACCAAAAGTATCCCATTTTACAGCTACAGACATCAGGAGAATAGAAGAAGGAAAGGAAAGAGAAAGAAAGAAAAAGAAAGGAAAAAAATAGAGAGTGAGCCAAGTGTGGTGGCACATGTCTGGAATCCCAGCGCTTGGGAGGCTGAATCAAGAGGATCTGTGCTAACTGAAGCCCAGCCTGAGCCCATGCACAAGATAAGAGGATGCCCTGCAGGAGGGGTAGTATAGAGGTAGGTGACAGAGGTGGTTACATTTTGCTTCTGAAAAGGGTCCAGGCTGTGAGCAAGCAGGGATGCGGGGGGGGGGGGCTTGTGCTTCCAGGCTGATCCTACACAATGAGGTTGGGTCTCTTGAGTGTACGTGATGCTCCCCCCAACAGGGACAAAAGCAGCATCCATTATTGGCAAAGGTAAAGGGACTCTGGCTGGAATACGACGGGATGATGCCTCTCTGATTTTCTGTGCCCACCCACTTAATGCGCGGTCACCTCTGGGAAGCCAGCGAACTGGTGGTGCTCCTCCTGCCTCAGTCTCCAGAATGCTGGAATTCGGGTCCTGAACCACACCTGGCTGTTGTTTATCTTGAGACAGGGTCTCACTACGTGGTTCAGTGGCCCAAGCTGGGCTCAGTCACACAGTCTCCTCCCTCGGCCTCCAATAGTGCTGGTATTACAGGTGAGACCACCTCACCAGCTCAGTCAGCGTCTTGAAAGGGCCACTACCTCTTGTCCTAGTTTCTTTGGCCTCAAGTCCCTCCTACCCCAACTGGCAACCTGGCTTTTGTCCCCGTGCTCCTCTAAAACTGCCCAGGCAGACTAGTTGTGTCATCCAAATTGCCCAATCCAGGGAACCTTCTGTACACCTCTTACTGGAATTTTCTGGAAGCTTTTGGCACAGTGGTGCTAGTCCTCTGGGGGAAAACACCCTTCCCTTGGCTCTGCAGCCGCATTTCCTGCTGGTTCTCATACTTCTCCAAACATGTCTTGTTCTCCCTCCTCACCTCTTTTTTCTCCTGCCCCCTTCATGCAGTGGCCTTGGGATCAAAGGGATCTGGTACTGTCTTTTTCTCTTCTCCTCTCTTTTCTTTTTCTTTTTGCCTCAAATAACAGAAATTTATTTTTTCATAGTTTGGGAATATCAAAGTCTAAGATTAAGGTGCCAGAAAATCTGGTTTCCAGTGGTGTTTCTCTTCCTCCTTGAAAGGGCTGCCTCTTGGCTGTGTCCTCCGGCCGTCCTTTGCTATTTTCCCTTCCAAAGCCTCTTCTCCTGCCTGGGTCAGGGCACTCCTCTTCCGTATCATTCTCACTCATTACATCTCCCCTGGGCCTCTCCTGAGCCCTTCCAAGTCCCTAGGTAAGTGGGCTCCTGCTACCCCCTGACAATTAATTTTTTGTTTGTTTCTGGTTTTTTTGTTTTGTTTTGTTTTATATAGGGTCTCTCTATGCAGTTTTGGCTGGCCTTGACCTCACTTTGTAGCCCAGCCTGGTCTCAAACTTGCAGTGATCCTCCTGCCTCAACCTCCCAACTGCTAGGAACACAAATGTGCACCGCCACACTCAGCCTCATGACATTCAGAATGAAATCAATGGAAAGCACCTGTTTTTCTGTCTGACTGTCACTTATGTGACTGTGTGGCTCTTCACACAGCACCAACCACACAGTAAGCGTTCCATGACTTCTGCTGTTACATGAACCCATGGGGCTGACCCCGGAAGGAAGGTGAGGTGAGTGAGGGGAAGAAATGCTCAGGTGAGCCACAGGGTCCCAGAGAACTAGAGGCAAATGAGTACTGCTCTCCAGAGACATGGGCCCAGAGGATACACAGACAGAGACAGAAGCAGGGGTTTGTTATGAGAATTTACTCACGCGCTGGTGGCACAGAGTCCCGCCACGTGCTGTCTGCAAGCTAGAAACCAGGAGGGCAGCCTGAGCACGGGTGTCCAGGGCAGGAGGAGGCGATTGTTCGGCTTAAGGAGAGTGAGGGACCCACCTTCCCTCGCCCTTTTGTTCCATCCCTGCCCCCAGAGACTGGATGCAGCCCGCCCGCTTGCTTGGGGGGGGGTCTCCTTACCCACTCTTCTGATCGAATGCCAATCTCTTCTGCAAATACCTTTGCAGAAACACCCCAAATTAATGTTTTACTCGCTACCTGGACATCTCTCAGCCCAGGCAAGTTGATACAGAAAATGAACCATGGAGGAAGCTAGGAAGAAAACAAATTACAGGTAAAGCACCAGGCTGAGGAAATTGGGCTCTGTTCAGCAGAGGGAAAATTTGAACCTAGAGCCCTATGGAAACACACAGTCTTGTGGCCAGGATTAAAAAAGGAGAATTCTGACAGTAGAGTAGGCTGGGCATGGGACACAACTGTAATCCCAGCACACAGGAGGATCGCCATGAGTTCAAGGCCAGTTGGGACTACATGGCAAAATAGTGTCTCAAAAAAATAAACAAAAATTACAATAAAGTAGAATAAAATAGAAAGAAGTAAAGCCAAACTGCTGGAATTGAGAGTGCTGTCACCCTGAGGGGCAGTGACTACACAGAGACATAGGTATTCTAAGGAGCTAGTTGTGTGTGTCTCTGTACATGTGTATGTTTGAGACAGTCTTGCTGTGTAGCCTAGACTAGCCTTGAACTCATGGTGATCCTCCTGCCTCAGCCTCCCAAGTACAGGGAGTACAGGTGTGTACCATGAAACCTAGGGTGGGTTCTGAGGCAGTGAGTAAGGCCCAGGGTAATGAAGTGGCCCAAGATACTGCCTCAGGAAGCTGTGTTCTAGGAAGTAGGGATGTATACGCAGGACATGAAGGATGGTTTTTGTTTTTATTTTCCAGTGCTGGGGACAGACCCCACTGTCTCATTCCCACTAGTGAAGTGCTCTGCCACTCAGCTATGTCCCTGACCCAAAGATTTATTTCTAGCTATTGCTTTAATCCTACAATAAATGTGTCATACAATTCATGTTGGTTTGGAGAAAGAAGGTAGAGTCCCTATTTCACCTCTGCCTTTCCGGGTGACTTTGGGGACCGCATGCAACCAAAGGACTGCAAGGCTCCTAATCTGAGACCTCAAGATAAGTCTAGGACTGAAGGAGATAATTGTGAATGTGCTTTTTGCAAACATTTTCTGTAGTCCTCGACAAATAAAAGATGTGTATAAGAGACTAATCTAGCTGATAAGGTTGGTGGATGCAAGGCCACTTGGAATTTAGGTCCCTTCTGTCCTGGTTGCTGGCCGTCCCCAGTACTCATAGAACCTAGTACAGCAGTTCTTCATTGGTTGCATGCTCCTTGGAAGGACCTGAGCCAGTGACACTTGAGACAATGACAGGTGGGAAATGTACCTCTCCTGTCTCCAGGGAGCCTGCATGCTGATAAATCTGGAGAAATAGAAGGGTCAGACTGAGCACCTATACTTACTCAACTTGTACTTTAGTCAAAGGCGAAAGATTTATACGATTTGAAGAGAAACCAGAGTATGTACTTTAGGAAAAGAGATGACACCCCAAAAATAAAGACAATACTGTTAGAGACAAGGCCTACATAAGAATGATAAAAGGACCAGGCTAGAGTAAAAGCTACATGGGTCATGTTAGGTCCTACAGCAGAGAAGGAGGAAGGAAGAGACATTATTTTGAGACTCACAAGAAGTTAGGTATGCAAGGAGCTGGGAAAAGAACATTCTAGAAAAAAGGGAGTAGCACATATCATGTCCTGAGGAAAGAACATATCACATTTCAATAACTGAAAAGCAGTCAAACAGGCCAAAAACATATCCTGGAGGAAAGACATCTCTGTAGCTGACAGTGCTGGGAAAGCTGACTGTCCACATTCGGAAGACTGAACCCAGGCCTGCAGGCCTCACCATGTACTAAACTGAAATCAAAGTGGCACAGGGGCTTGGTAGAATAAGCGCTTGCCTGGCAAGTGCAAGGGTCTGAGCTCAATCCCCGGTTCCACCAAAAAAAAAAAAAAAATCAAAGTGGCCCAAAAATCATAATGTTAAAAGGGAAACACTGAGTCAGCTGGAGGACAAAATAGGCTCTTGAAGTCATAGGTGTGGGCAGCAACTTTCTAATTGCACAAGAAATAACAGCAAGGATCAAGAGATGGCATCATATCAAATTAAAAAGCTTCTGAGCAGCAAAGGAAACAACAGAAGGAAGATACAACTTCCAGAATTGGAAAACAATTTTGCCAGCCACACCTCAGACAAGAACTAAGATCTAGAATATATAAAGAACTTAAAGGCTGGCAAGATAGCTCAGCAGACTAAGCGCCTAAGACTAAGCTTAGTCTGGTGCTGGTTGGATCCCCAGCACCATGTGCCACACCAGCCCTGTCCCCCCAGGCGAGCTGAGCTGGCTACAGAGCTTGGCATAGCTGCACAGGTCTGTAATCCCAGCACTGGGGAGGCTGAAAACAAGAGAATCACTACAAGTCAATCACCCCTGACAACACTGTGGCTCTGTTTTTAGCTTGTTTCCTCAGAAGCGTGAGGAGACCAAAGTGACCAGGGTGGAAATCTTAGCTTCTAGTTCAATAGTATCATTGTTGTGCTTCCTGGTACAAGCCTTCCCCCCCTGGGACCAGAACATAAGGTCATGGGGACAGGAAGCAAAAATTTCCCTAGTGGATCATGGGGTGATCCTACTCCCACCCCTTGATTCCTGGACTCAGGAATCCTGGCTATGGGAGACACAGTACCATATAGAGAGGGAGTGCTGATTCAAAGCATATACAACCTTTTGAAGTACCTTCCCCCAGCCCTGCAAATGCCTGCCACCAAGGGGCACTGTAACTGAGTCTTCAAAAGATCATTCCACCTTTCCATCAATCCAGCTGCTTCTGGATGGTGAGGAACATGATAAGACCAGTGAATTCTATAAGCACAAGCCCACTACTTCACTTCTTTGGCTGTAAAATGTGTTCTTTGGTCAGAGACAATGCTGTGTGGGATTCCATGATGTGGCTAAGGCATTCTGTCAGTCCATGGTTGGTAGTTTTGGCAGAGGCGTTCTGTTCAGTGAAGGCAAATCCATATCCAGAGTATGTGTCTATGCCAGTGAAAACAAAGCGCAGTCCCTCCCATGATGGAAGTGCTCCAATACAATCAACCTGCCACCAGGTTACAGTTTGATCACCCCAGGGAATGGTGCCATATCAGGGACTCAGTGTTGGTCTCTGCTGCTGGCACTCAGCAGCAGCTATAGCCAGATCAGCCTTACTGAGTGGGAGTCCATGTTGCTGAACCCATGCATAACCTCCATCCCTGCCACCATGGCCACTCTGTTTATGGGCCCACTAGGCAATGACAGGGGTGCCTGAAGGAGGTTGGCCACTATCCACAGAACAGGTCATCTTACTATTTAATTAGTAAAGTCCTCTTCTGCTGGTGTCACCCCTTGGTGAGCGTTCACATGGGAAACAAATATTTTTACATCCTTTGCCCATCTGGAGAGGTCTATCCACACACCTCTCCCCCAAATATCTTTGTCACCGATTTTCCAATCATGCTCCTTCCAAGTTCCTGACCATCCAGCCAGACCACTGGCCATGGCCCATGAGTCAGTATATAGCCACACATCTGACCATTTCTTCTTCTAGGCAAAATGTACTGCCAGGTACACTTCCTGAAGTTCTGCCCACTGTCATGATTTCCTTTCACCACTGTCCTTTAGTAATGTGCCAGAAAGGAGCTGTAAGGCTACAGATGTCCACTTGTGAGTGGTACCCACATAGCGTGCAGAGGCATCCGTAAACCAGGTCCTAGTCTCCTCTTCCTCTAACAGCTGATTATATAGTACACCCCACAACGCCATAGGTGCATGCCGGGAAATAGAAGGCAATACAGCAGGTATAGAAGCCAAAAGGCAACTTCCTCATGTAATTTACTTGTACGCTCTGGACCTGCCCTGGCTCTATCATGAATATACCACTTCCATTTAATGATGGACTATTGCTGAGCATGTCCAACCTTATGACTTGATGGATCAGATAATATCCAGACCATGATAGGCAACTCAGGTCTCATGGTTACCTGATGTCCCACAGTCAAGTGTTCAGTTTCCACTAAGACCCAGTAGTAGGCCAAAAGCTGTTTCTCAAAATGATTGGGACTGCAGAGATAGCTCAGTGGTCTAACCACCTGCATAGGCAAGTGCAAGGACATGGGTTCGATCACCAGTACTGCATGTTGTGCTGGCCCTGCCTGGAGCATGCTGAGCTGGCCACCAAGACTGGGCTTGGTGGTACAACCATGTAATCCCAGCACTGGGGAGACTGAAAACAGGAGGATCGTTATGAGTCTGAGCTGTGTAGTAAGACCCTGTACCAAATACATAAAAAAGAGAGAAAGAGACCAGAGACAGAGACAGAGAGACAGAGACAGAGAGAGAGAGTTGTCTGCAGATGATGGCAGAGCCTTGCTCCAAAATCCTAAAAGCTTCCACTACAATTCACCTATGGGTCTGCCAGAGACTCCAAACAGCATCCCTATCTACCACTGACACTTAAGTACCATTGGATCTGCTGGATCATATGGTCCCAGGGGCAGAGCAGCCTGAACAGCAGCCTGGACCTGCTGCAGAGCTTTTTGCTGTTCTGGGCCCCTCTCAAAATTAGCAGCTTTTCAAATCGTTCAGTAAATGGGCTAGAGTAAGATACCTAAGTGAGGGGCCGGGGAGATGGCTCAGTAGAATAAGTGCTTCCCTGGCAAGCGCAAGAGTCTGAGTTTAATCCCCGGTTCTGGGAAAAAAAAAAAAAAAAGATACCTAAGTAAGGAATATGTTACCTCCAAAATCCAAATAGGCCCATTAGGCACTGTGCCTCCTTTGTGGTTGTAGGAGAAACCAGAGGCAACAACTTTTCTTTTACCTTAGAAGGAATATCTCTACATAATCCACACCACTGGACTCCTAGAAACTTCACTGGAAAAAAAAAAAAAGAAGAAGAAAAAA